ATGATAAGCAATTTGATAATATAATTACACTTTTTAAATATCAAATTTCTGCATTAATAACAATAATAAAATTCAAATGCTATTCAGCATCTTAAAAAAAGATTTTAAAAGATTAATATGTAAATTGGTGTGCAAACAAATTTGTTAGGTGCATAATGTTTAAAAAAGTTTCAAGAAGAAATTTTGTAATAAGGCTTTACTGAAAACCATACTACTACTACTATTACTACTACAGAAAGTGTAATTTAATATGAACAAAGTTAAAAATAAAACAATTATATAGTATATATGCTGTTTTAAATTTAATATTTTGATAGTAAAATATCATACTGAATTAGTAAATAATTCAATACTGGCTTAATTATTATTTTAACAAAAAATATAAAACCATGTAAATATTTATCATAATATTAATTAGTTTAAATACAAGTTTTATGTAATGGTATAACAAGAACAATGAAAGCCAATTTTGTATTGTTTTAAAATAATCTAAATTAAAAACTGCTATAGAGTTATGTTTGGAATTAAAATAAATTTTTAAATTGTATTTTTAATTCTTTCATATTTAAATTAAAATTTTTGTATAATAGTGCTGAGTAGATTATGAATAAGTGTTTAAGACAGCCTATGCCATATTGTCTTTATCTTATTTGCTAGCTTTATCTTTTCTCAACTTAAAATGACTTCTCTGGGTCAAACGTAATTATTTTAAGTAAAAACATTTTCCCATATATAGTATAGTTTCATATAATATAATATATACACCAGTTTTATAGTACAGAATAATATAAAACTGGTAGAATATAATATAAACTGGTAGAATATAAAACTTTTAGAGATGAGTTAAATTTGTTTTATCATGTTACAAGTCTTTTTAAAGGTTTTCATGTCTTGGAAAAATCCTCAAAATAATAACAACTTAATTAAAAATTTTGTTTTATGCAGTTTTTATATATTTCAAAATTTAAATAAGAGATTATAAAACTTGATTTCAAATAAAAATCAGTCCATGAATTTTAAATTATTAAAATTTCAAATTATAATTAGATTCAAATTTTACTAATAATTCCAAATGAATTTGTCAGTATCAAATAGAGATTTAGGAATATTCTCAAAATTTCAAGTTTGATGAGAATAGAAGTATTTTTCTAAACAAAAAGTTATTAGAAAATGCACAAATTACAGAAATAATCCAAATCATAATTTTATAACTAAGATTAAATTTATTCATAAGTTTCTTTAATATGCAATTTTTTTCATTGAAACTTTTATGAATGAAATAAAGTAATAGAATTGTATTATTAAAACAATTAGGTTTAAAAAGTACAATATACCTGGTACAACAAATATAAAAATTTAATACTCTTATTTCAACATGAGTCCTATAGGACTTATATTGAAATATGAGTTTCAAGTTCAAATAAATTTAATCTTAGTATTAAATTATGATTTGGATTATTTCTGTAATATAGAGCAGTTTGAAATATATATCAGTATTAATTAAATATATGCTAAATTTATAACAACATTTGTTTAACAATAACAATTAACAATAAGTGACATGATAAAGTTTTAAACTAAGGATAAAACTAAGAGTTCTGTCAGAAATCAAAATAAATGTTTATTGATAATTTACTGGTTAAAACATATATATCCAATTTCTATCCAGGATCTTTCCTGTCTAAATATTTTTCATTAGGCAATCATGTTTATATATAGCAGAATCCACTTACCGTAATTGCTTTGAGGAACTCACCTATGCTGGCAATAACCAATCAAAAACAATAAGTGAAATAAACATATAAGACTACAATTAGTGGAAATTCTGGTTTATTGGTTCTGATATTAAAATAACATGTTTAAACAATTAAAAAATGTATAATTTAAGAATTCATTAATTATTAATTATCACAATTTCTTGCATTTAACCCACAGCAGCATATAGCTTACAGAAAATTGCTAAACAAAAATAAAAATTGTCACATAATGTGCACTGCTATATAGCCCATAGCTTCAAAGTTGTGGTTGAAAACATCTACTTAATCTATATGCAATTTAAAAGGTACCATTTCTAACATTGTTTTTCTTGAATTCCTTTAATTTTATTTCTGTTAGCAGATTATTATTATAAATGTAATTATAAAATAAGCAAAACAGAAAAACAAAATATTGAGATAGGGAAAGAACTGTTTAAACTTCACTGTGTCAAAAAAACAAAATGGCTTAAAGTTTATATTGCATATAATATGGTTATAATAGAAAATGGCATTAAACAATTTATTTAATCATTTCATTTCATATACAGTCTACCAATTATTAATAAAATATACATAATAATAGTAATAATAATAATTTCATAACATTTTATACATTATGCTGATAGGAAAAAAATAAATAAAAACAAGATATGGATTACAGATGTGATAGTCCCAGATGACAATGGTGGAAGAAAAATAATTACAGTCAGTCACTAAATATAAAAGACCTGCAAATTAAGGTTGACCAATTGTGGATGACAATCATACTCCCAACTGTAGTTGGAACACTAGGAACCATTCCAAGGGATCTAGAGCACCTGAAGATTGTAGAACTTAGTAGAAACAACATCTATATGCTACATAAAAAGGCTGTACTACCTAGAACAGCATGCATTTGCATAAATATCTCTAAACATCCCAAATCTCTGAAAGAGACTATGTTTAGGGATCAAATCCAGCTATCAATAACTGTGTCTATGTTAAATAATAATATTAAATGCTAAAGTAAACTAAAAAGCAAAAATTTAACAGAAAAAAAGACTTTAATGTTGATAATATTTGTAGTATACTTAATATCTGAAGAGCCATCTGGAATTGATACAATTCCAGGGTGGTGATGAGGTCAATGTTACTCTTGTCTAGAATGATTGTCCTAATACAGCAGTTCCAATGTGGGGAAGCCGCTGCTTCCCCATAGGTGCACCACAAAATGTTGTAAAATTTTTATAATTTTACTTCTATTTTCAATTACAAAAATGCTCTTGGTAAGTTTAGATAGAGGAAAAGCTGTTGGATAATAATTTTACTTCTATTTTCAACTTGATGTGACATCTAGCAGACCTGGNCGTGTAAACACGTGCCATCTATCGTAGGGTAAATGCCAGAAACCTTCGCGGGAGTGTATTAAAAAACTTCCCAAAGCTTCATGGCAATCGTACTACGCCACAAACCTTCACGGGAGTATATTAAACAACTTCTCAAAGTTTCACGGCAATCGGATAAACGGTGTGGTAATGCATGAAGGACACACACACACATTCATTTTTATATATATAGTTGAAATAAAAAATGTTATTCTTATACAGGATATTCCATAAGCTAGTGGCAATATTTTTACACCGTATTCTAGAGGTCTAGGGATCCAAAACTGTCCTATAAATCTTCAACATCATTTCTGTGCTAGAAGGGGTTAAAGTTTTGATCAGCTATTCTTTAAGATGCTGTTTTGCAGCCCTGCTAAACTCTGCAAAAAAAGCCTCAATCATGTTGATCTTCAGCTTCTTACCTTCAGATTCAAACATGTAAGGTTCACTTGCATTTCTTGGTCCTTTAGCACAGGCAGTAAGTAAAGCTTTTCTGCAGTGCTGTAGAGCAACATCTTAAAGGGCAGATAGTCAAAAACTTTAATCCTTTCTAGTGCTTAAAACAATGCATTTGAAGGGCTTTGTTTATAGGCTATTTTTGAATCTCCTACTGTATATGATTAAATTCATTAAAGTATAAAAAGAGGCTTAAATATGATACCATGTAAACCTTTTGTAATTTAAAATTTTAAATCTGAAACAAGCATGGAAGTCCATTTCATCCAAATTTTCAGTTATCTGAGGTAGCCTTGGCCCACATTACCTCAGATAGTCAAGATTATAATGTAAGATTATTCACTCTTCCAACTTTGTATGGCTTACAAGCAATGTTGTTAAATTTGAATGTTTTAATGTAATAATTCAATTTTTAAAAATTATAAAATATCATAACTAAATTAAAGTTCTATTTACTGAAATGATAGTTCTCAAATATAAATATTTAAAAAATAATGTTAGTTTCTATGAGTTTTTTTATATAATTATTTATATTCCTTTTCTTTACTATTCCTTTTTTCTTTATTAAAATCAAAACTGCACAATTTAAACTTTTTTGTTTTTATTTTAAAATCTTTTAAACAAAAAGTGACTTTAATGAATTTATTTTGTAATATAAAAAAATGCATTTTCTAATATTTATGATTGATATTTCTTACTAATAAAAGCTAAATAATCTGAAAGAATATGTTTTCTTGATACTTTAGTACTTAGTATCTTGCATCAAATATGTGTAACTTAATTAGATTTTTAAAAAGTAAAAATCAAATAGTTATAAATGATAATGATATCTATTTTAATGAAGTTGCTAAATACATATATTTGTTAAGTACAGTTGGCATAATGTGAGATTGCACTAAATTTGCCTGTTTTACAGAAGACAGGGTGACAAGATAAGATAGTTCTGTGGTAATTTTGCCACACTAATTTGTGTGTACTTATGCTGTACAAGATTTATCAGTTATAATATGTCATGTTTCCTTGAAAAGAGCATTTGTGTACACAAAAATGAACTGTCTGTAGCCTTGGTGATAATTGCTTTTGAAGAAAAAAGTTTTGATGCAGAAAGTATTACACTATCTGCCACATATTTTCACTAAAATAGACATAGTTAGTACTGACCAAGTGCAATCTCTCATCTCACTGACTATATGTAAAGTACTTCTATATTTACTTTAACTATTAAATCTCTGTAAGATCATATATATTAGACAGTTGAGAGTTATTCGAATGTCTACATTTCGTTTAACCAATTTGTTGGAATTTTGAAATGATTCATTAACTTTCATATTTTATAAAAATATGTAAGTGAATAAATTACTTACTTTAATATTTGCATCATGGTATCTTTCCTATCAATTCCTTGAAATGGTAGGGCACCAGTTAACATTTCAAACTATTATTTTATGAAATAAAAAGCAAAAAACTATTAAAAACTGAAATACTAAAACTAATTCTTTACTTTCATAACAAAATATATGATTACCATTAAAACTCCAAATGACCACCAATCTGCAGCCATAGAATGGCCTTTACGATTAATTACTTCAGGAGCCATATATTCTACTGTTCCACAGAATGAATATGTTTTTTGGTCATTTAAAGCTTCTTTACTTAAGCCAAAATCTGTTAAACTAATATGACCATCAACATCTAAAAGAATACTGAAAAAATTTTTGATATAATTAAAAAAAGATCACAAATTATGTTTACTGAAAAGGGAGCTCGTTTATACTCACTTTTCAGGTTTGAGATCACGATAAATTATACCTAATCTATGTAAGTGGTCCAAGGCTAGAGCTAATTCTGCCAAATAAAACTTTACATCATCTTCTGTAAACATAAACTAAAAAAATCATAAATTAATTAATTTTATATTTTCAAACACAATAATAAAAACCAAGAGTTTCTGCAATGCAATTTTACCTCTTTACTAAGACGAGAGAAAAGATCTCCTCCTTTCAGGAAATCCAAAATTAAATAAAGTTTACCTTCTGTCTGAAATGCTACAAAAATATTCCTAAATAATTTTGTAAAATCTGAATTTTACATAATTATTAGCTTAATTACCATAATGTAATTTTACAATAAAAGGATGTTTTACTTCTGCCAATATATCTCTCTCCATTTTTGTCCTCATACGATCTCGAACTAAAGAAAGAAAGGAAAAAAAAGGCATTTTTGTTTTTTTAATTACTTTTTCAGGTGTAAAATGATTAAAATCTCAATAATGTTACAAAAATAATAGATATTGCATTTAACATTTAAACAACATGATTAATCAAGAATAAAAAATTCACAAATAAGACAAATTTTATAACTATAGTATTTACCAGTTGAAGTTGATGTGATGGATTTTTAATATGTATCATTTTGCTGCTATAGCTAAGCAATGATAATTCTCTGAAACATAGTGTTTGAAAATTCGAACACTATGTTTCAGAGAATTATCATGTAACGTTGTACGGTCTTTTATTTTTTAATAAACTTAAATTTCTTGAAAAAACATCACAAATTTCAAATAAATTATAACAATACAATTTCTTAACTAGAATAAATGTAAAAATAAATAGTTCCAGCCTGTTCCAGCAAAAAATTTAATTTTCTAACATTTTGCATGTGTATAGCTGCAGGATATAATTACTTTGCTGGAAAAAAGATTAGGTCTCCTCTAAAAATAAACTGTAATAATGAAGGTTATTACAAGGTTGTACAATAGTTTTTCTAATGAACCTATTGTCCTTTAAACTCTTCATATAAAGTGTTTGTGTATGTTTTTTGGAGGATCTGCTAAAGACCTATTGAAAAAAAATAATAATTCTATTGGAAAACTTTATACTGTCTGATATTAAAGGTTGTCTGTTTTTAAGGAATTGAAGAAGAGGTTTCACTGTACAGGTATCTCTTGTTTAATGCGAGATTTGATTAACATGCAAAATTAATTGTGTCAATCCCTTTATATACACAGCAGAAGCTTTAATCAGTGTGGCTTTAACAGCTGTCTTTACTTAACATGTTTTTCTCAGTAAAATGTGTTGGTGAATTTGTTATTTTGGTGTTGAAAGTGATTTTCAATATAGATATGTAATTTAATTATGATAGTTGTAAAATTTAATAAATTACTATTAATGCAATATTGTATTCTTTATCCATAAGCTTATTTTAAAACTTTACTTCACGTTTTGTTTGCATAAAATGACATTGAAATGTCTACATATAAAATGCATATCAAGCATACTATCTATACTTTTTAAGTTTCATAAAGGATATAACACTATACAAACAGTAAAAAATACTCAGTGTATGGTGAAGATGCTCCTAAATGTCAGATATGTCAAATATGGTTTTGGAAGTTTCATTCAGGAAGTTTTGAACTAAAGGATACAAAATATATGGGACTCCTGAAAGCTGTTGCTGAAGAAAAATTTCACAAAGAAATTGTTGAAAATTGACAAATAACAACTCATGAACTTACAACAAATCATAATGTGTCACCAACTGATGACTCTGTTCTGTACGCATTAAAAGTAAAAAAAAAAAAAAAAAAACAACAACAAACTGGATCAAGTATAATTTTGTCTGACAAAAGTAGACAGCTCTAAGGTTTCATTTTATTTTTAAATTAGTTACTCATTTTTTACCATAGAAAACTTTTCTTACAAATGACAAAATTAAAAATAGAAAGATTTGTTATTAACCAAAAATTTGTTCTAGTGGATAATGATTGGTAGAGTACAGAGGTACTCTAGTATTTGATTAATGTAATTTTGATATAAGCAGTAGGATTGAGAGATTAATTAATCATGTCAATCTAGAGATACTTGTATTTTTA